TCATGACTAACTCCTGTACCGTACCGAAGCCAGCTCACACCAGATTTTATGAAGTGATTGTTATGGTTTGAGAAATTTGGGAATTGATTTGTAAATACAGCTATTATTAAAAATTAAATTATAGAAACTTACAATTAAGTAATATTAAAAACACAGGTAAGAAATGCTCAGAGCTCATAATTTCTAATTATTTTGTTACCATTTACTCTTGCTTAGTGCTTGTGGTTATTAATGTCTCTTTGACCTGCATAGTAGAAAACCTATATAATGGTGTGCTTCTGCCCAGTCTTCCCAATACCTCTTTCATGGACATCAGTTGATGTCTTAAAATCAACTACAATGGTATTTACAGCACAAAAATCAACGATAATGCAGGGTTTTTATGTCTCCTATCCTTAGCTCCAGCTGTCTCTTGTTAAACATTTATCAACACACCACTGATAATTCTGAATGTAGAGGAAACGTAGCTTAATGGCTCACCACACAGGACTCCAAATTTGTGTGCTTTTGTACATTTTTCTTTACACTTGCAGTGGCCGCAGTTTCTTCATCTGTAAAATGGTTTACAAGTCTCTTGGAAGCACTTAACACTGTGTCTCTATTGAAACATCAAATGAACGGTGATGCTAATTGTAATCACCATCAACCATCAGATGCAGAAATGAATTATAGAATGGACTGTGTTGGATTTAGTTTTATGTTCAAGATTCAGCAAAACAGACAAATTAAATTTTTCAAAATTTAATTTTTTATGTACAATTGTGCCTTAGCATCCAGTTTAGAGGTAGAACTCAATTGCATGCTGAGAAAATTATAGAAAGTAGTGTTTTCATATTTACAGATGACTAACATTTGCTTTCCTAATATTGAATTCTTCATTTTTTATAGTTTTTTTTTACTTTGGTAAACACTTTGCTAAATATAATTTGATCATATATTCAGCATGATCCAGTGGAAACATTTTGGCATCAGGAAGAACTAAAATTTGATATAGATTCTGTCCCAGCTTACCGCATCTACCAAGTCAAACTATTTATATACTCTGGCCTCCAATTTCCTTTACATTGACCAAGTTTCAATTAGCAGCTTCGTAAATTTTTTTTGAATAAAATCTTCTACAGAAACTTACTATATACAGTTTGGATAGTGCTTAAGATGATGGTCCAGATACACATACCTACTTTCCTGCTCTCTCAAAATCCCAGAAAAGAATATAAAAATGTAAGTATACATGAAAAGTAATGGGAAATATCAAAAGCGCCATCAGCACACTAGAAATTTAGGGTAATTCTCCTAAGATAGAAAACATAGAGGGACAGAAATCAGATCAGAGAATATCATAGCCACAAACATGCAGAAGTCAACTGTACAGATTAGTACAGAAAGTTCATGGTAAATAAGTGCAATGAGCAGAATACTCCACAACAAATATTGCAGAAATTCATTGGAAACCCCATTTTAAACAAATGGATCCTTCTGAGAATCCTTGCAGCTTAATGGTTAAGGCTCAAGCTCTGAGCATTATTCATTCATTCATTCATTTATTCTGAGCTTTTTTGAGAGCTTTTTTTTTTTCTTTTTAAGAGGAAGTCTAAGTTTAGTAATTGTTTCAGGCATATTCCCTGTCCCTGGCATACATCCTGTAATGATTCTAAAAGGGAAGGTCTGTGGGCAGTGAATATTCCATGTCCTTGCATGTCTGACACTATTTTATTTCTCATTCAAATTTGGATAACACTTCTGATATATCCAGACTCAAAGTCATTTTTCCTTAAAACACTGAGGACATTGTTCCCTTGTCTTTGTGCATATGGGCTGTCAATAAGAAGTATGATATATCAATCTGAGCCTTACCCATTTGCAGCTACCTATTTTTTTCCTCTTTCTGGAAGATTATAGGATTTTGTACTTTTCTTGATTTTAGTTTTTACTATTATTTTTCTGTCAGTGAGACTTTTTGTCCCATTAAGCTCTCAGTGCCTAGTTTCAGTATGAGGATTCAGTTTGCTTTCTTCCATCTGTCATGCTACCATATTATCTACTATTTCTTTAAATATTGTTTCTCCTCCATTTATTTTATTCTCTCCCTGTAGAATGTCTCTTCAGTAAGTGTCAGAAATCCCTTATATAATTTCCATATCTCTTAACTTTAATTTTAGACAATTTTATTGTTAAATATAACATATAAGAAAAAGTAAGAACTCATGTCCTTGCTTTTTTTTTCGTCCTGTCACCCATGTATGCATTCCTAAATGGGATAGCTTAATTTTGCTTCTTTCCGTACTTCATATAAATAGAAACAAATTGAATATATTATCCTGTTTTTCCTTTATTTACTTAATAATATGTTTGTACTACTCATCCATAATGCTGTGGTTCACCTTCATTTATTTGTATTGCTTTATTGCCTACCATTGTTGGCTACAATTTACTTTTGCCTGGCTTCTGCATGTTTTCTAGTTTAAGATGACAAGCAATGGGGCTTGTATCACACGCAACAGTATTCACACATCTAGGTCAGTAACTCTTATCATATCCAAGAATCACCTGGAGGACTTAATACATTGCTAGTCTCCATCCTCACAATTTCTGTTTTAGTAGCTCTTGAGTGAGATCCCAAAATTTGTATTTCTAAGACATTTCCTAGTAATGCTGATTCTATGTGAACTGTTTCATGCAATGAGGCTTCATTCATTTAGGTTATCTTTAATGTAGCACAAAAAATTCTGTAAATATGTTGCACACATATTGTTGAATTTATGTTCAGATAGTTGACACTTTTAATGCAATTGTAGACGGTTGCAACTTTTAAATGTAATATTCCATTTGCTAAGGGTATAAAGAAAAACAATTGCTTTATTTATAGATTGATTTTATATCCAGCAACCTTGTTATACAGTTACTAATTTTAATTCATTTATCATAGATTTTTAAATATTTCTAACATGCCATATCATCTGTGAATAATGGCATTTTTGGCTTTTTTTCATCACTTACATATTCTTCTCTTTGTTGGACTAACTCCAATATTCAATAAAATGTTGAATAGAAATGATTATTGCAGACACTCTAGTCTTGTGGCTGTGTTGTTGTGTTTCCATTTATTTGTACTGCTTTATAGCAATATCATATCATGAAACAATATATATGTTTCACCAGTAAGTATAATGTTTGCAATAGTGTATTTGTCTCTGTGTGTTTGTAGATATTTTTTGTTTTAGACTGAGAAAGTAAATTTCAGTTCTGGGTTTTAACCAATTATTTTTTTAACTATGAATTGATATGGATTTTTTTCTATTTTTCATCTGTTAATATGATAATTTTTGTTTGGTATTCTATTAAATGAGTGAAAAACATTTGTTGATCTTTTAATATCAAATTGGTCTTCATAATTAAATTTGCATGCACACATGCACAAATACATGATTTAGAGTTAGCTGACTGTTGTATTGCTCAAAGAAATGCATGGAAACTCACTAATAAAAAAAGTTTGGCCAACAGTTATTCTTTCTTTTTTATTTATTAATTTATTAATTTTTTGAGACAGAAACTTGCTCTGTTGTCCAGGCTGGAGTGCAGTGGCATGATCTCGGCTCACTCACAGGTTTCTGTATCAAGGATATGTAGCTAAAATAAATATTAGTTGAGGAATGTACCCTGTGTTTCTATTCTTCAGAAAACTGTGAAACTCTGAGTAAGATTAGAAATAGGCTTTTCTTAATGCTTCGATGATTTACTAAAAAGCAACTTTAGGGTGTGCGTGTGAACATCTGTGTGTGTGTGCTTATGTACAAAATTTTTTGTCCTGACATTTTATTATAAATTTTAAGCAAAGAGTTGAAAATTCTTAGAGCGACTACCCTTCTACCAATTAAAATATTACCGTACTTGTTGTATTACATGTTTTTTAAATGGTTTTGAACTATTTAAGTTTTCTAATTTTCTAGAGTTAGATTTGGTAAATTACAGGTTTTTTATTTTTTTAAAATCTTCAAAAGTTTTTGTAAAACTTTTTTTATGACAATGCTTTATTAGCTGTTAAATATATATGAAATCTGTAATATCTATAGTAATATTTGATTTTCAAATTATTCTTGTGGCTTTCACTTCTACTCTTTCTCTTTTTTTTTTCTGTCTTTCTTCATCTTTCCCAATCTCTACAGAATTTTCTTAATTTTGATATTTGTTTAGAAGTAACATTTTTTGGCATTGTTAATCTTTTTCTACTGTATATATACTTTCTATTTTATTGGTTTATTTTGTTATCTTTATTATCATCTTTCTTCCGCCTGATTTTTAGACTTATTTTGCTCATCTTTTTCTAACTTCTTAAGATAAAAGTTTAGCTCATTTTTATCAAACATTCTTCTTTTTTTCATATGCATTTAAGGTTATGGGTTATCCTTTATATATTGCTCTACCTGTACTAAACAATCCTGAGTAGTTTTTATTATAATTCACTTCATATTATTTTCTATTATCTATTATTATGTTCCTAAATACAGTGTTTCTATGGTTTAGGTTATACACTTAATCCCTAAAATCATATTTGTATGTAAATGGAATTTGGAGATGGAGCCTTGGAAGGTAATTAGAATTAGATAAGGTAATAAGGATGGGGTTTCTTTTGTAGTTTTTGAGATAACTTCTGTAAAAGGTGTAACATTTAGAGTGTAAAGCCATTATGGTAACATTGGTGGCTTTCTAAGAAGAGAGAGACCTAAGATGGCAAGCTTTCCCTCTCATCAGGTGATGCCATCCTCCATATTATGACCAGGAGGAAGACTTTCACCAGACTCTAGCCGTATGCACTTGGACTTGCCAGCCTCCAGAGCCATGAGATAAACTTTAAAAAAAAAAAAAAAATTACCCAATCTGTGGTATTCTATTATAGCAACAGAAAATGGGTTAAGACAATTGTTTTTCTCTTTGTTTGATTTTTTAACTTTTTATTTTAAAATACTTTTAGGTTTGGGTTTGGGAAATTGCAAATATAGTAGGCATAGGAGTGTGTACCCTTCAATTTCTCTCAAGGATTATATTTAATGTAACTCTAGTACCATATGAAAACTAGAAAACTGATGTTAATACAATACGTGTAATTACTTCTATCGCTTCTTATCCCAGATGTAAATTAGTGTAACCACCCTTGCAATCAAGATACAGAAACTATCCATTACGGAATGAAAAAGCACTTCATTACTGTTCCCAGTGTTTATTGATACCATACTGTGTATGTGTGTAAAAGAGGAGGAGTTTCTTAATATCAGGCTGGGATGAACATCCTCCCTTCCCTCTCTGCCTTTTATGATCATCTTGAAGGAAGAAGGTAGGTACCACATTACTATGAGATAAACATAAAAATCGCAGCTCTCTACTTGACCTTTACTAATTGAGGCACGGATGGAGTTCATGGAATTTGGTTAAAGTAAGGCAATTACTATCTAAAAGTTTTCTGTCTTGTTAAGCTTTTTCTTTTCTTGGTCCTTTGGCTAGAGAGAACAGACTTTCCTTGGGGCTTTGTACCCTTTTGTGTTTGCAGGTTTTCATGTGCTACAGCAGGTAGTCTGGGATACATTCAACCAAAAAATACAAAGTAATCATAATCTGTCTTCTTTTCTTCACTTTTCAGAGTGTCCTTATTATTATTATTATTATTATTATTTACATATCACGTCCCTAGTTTTCCATTGAATTTAGTAGAAATAATAGGAAAAGTGGATCCACTCTATTTTTTCCTAGAACTGAAAGTTCACATACATTTGATTATAAAACATATTTCTTGTGTTAGCCAGGGAAATAAGCCCAGGAAAACAAAATAAATAAAAAAGCATGCTTGCTAGCAAAGAGAAGGAAAGAAAAAGAAAGAAAGAAAGAAAGAAAGAAAGAAA